TTTATTAAAAATGAGTTTAAATGCAAATAAATATATTAAAATAAATATCTATCTTTTATTTTTTTGGCTTTTCACTCTTTAATTAAGAGTATTAATTTTATTTTAAATAAAAATAAAGGTATAATATTATGAGCTTTGATGATTATATTTGTAAATTACAAAAACTAGCAAATTTTTTGATCATGTCAATTAACTTAAGTTTGTAAATTAAAATTATTTTTTTCTATTTTTGGGTATTCTACAATTAAGATATGACTATCTACCTGTCTGCAATGTTAAAAGTTAAAACTAAAAATTATTATTTCTTGCAATAAAAATTTTTATAAAAGGTTTTTATTAATTATTTTTATAGATTTTTGATACTTAATTTAGCTTTTTTAAAATTACAATTAGTTTAAAAAATAATTTGTATCATCACTTCCAATTTATTTTTTTTAAGTATTCTTTTTTCTAAAATAAAAAAATTTAATAGATATTCTTTCAATAACCTAAATTTTATTTTATTATTTATAATATATCCTAACTTCTATTTTAATACCTAACCAATTTATCTACTTATCTCTCATAATTTCTATACTTTTTTCCAAGCTAATTAGAACACTTTTATTACTCAAATTCTATGAGAAATATAGCATAAATAATTTAAAATAGATGGAGCTAGAGTTATATATTTCGTAATTTTTTATTAAATAGAAGTTTTTAAAAATTTTTATGTAAAACTCATCATTTTTAGCAATGAAAATTTTTTTCCTAACTCCACCACAATTAAAAACTAGTGATAGAATAAAAAAATTAATATTTTTTTAATCTATTATAAAACTGCTTCAAAAAATTTTGGCAAACAGATATTTTATATTTTTTTAAATAAAGACACTATAAATTAATAATAATTGAAATTAATATTTAACACTAAGTATCTTTCCTTATTTATCAATTTTATATATTTAAAACTTCATCTTTTATTGTATCAACATATAATATTATAAGTAATATAAATTAAAAATAATAAAAAGTGATAATAAAATTGGAGAGTAAGGGTTTTTAGCTTTAGGATAATTTTTAGAAGGACTGAACAATCTTTCTGAATTAACTCTAGCATTTAAGTAAAAACAATGAATTATTTATTTTTAAATAAGCTAAGTCTAAAAAAATTGATAATATTTTTATTTAATTTTTAGTTTAGATTTATTAGAAGTTTTAAGTATTAAAAATTGTAAATATTATATTTAATAAAAATTCATTCATCCATTTATTTAATAGTTAGCTTAATTTCTAATTAAAATAAATAAATTTTTTAATTTATCATTCTCTGCTATTCAAAATAAAAAAGATATTCCAATATAATTAATTAAAATATTTCATTTTTCTTTTCTTCTTATTTATAAAAATAAATTTAGTTATTAGCTTTAATTATTTTGTTTGGATAAATTATTTATTAATCATTTTTTCTTTAGATATTTTATTATATTATTTTTAAAAACTGCTATTGCAATAATAATCTTAAAAATAAAGAAGTTTAAGATCTATATCTTTCTTTGGTTAAATGCAAAAAGATTTCAAAGTTAACACTTATTTCAAGGTATAAATTATCTTTTCCTAATAACTCTTTATTTATTTAATTTTCTGTAGTTTATATTTTAATACTTGTTGAATATATTAAACGAATTTTTAAGTTAACTCTTTTTCACTAAAAAAAGAAATAATCATATGCATAAAAATAGCATACTACATTTAGGATAAGCCTTAATGTAATTAACTAACCTCTCTACTCTGAGTATAAAAGATCATGAGTAAAAATAGCTTATTTATTTTATTAATTTAAAAATTAATTTTCTTTAAATGTAATGAGAAATTTGATTTTCTTTCTTATTTTAAATTCATATTCAATTATAATAAGTTTAATATGTTAAGGATTTCTAGGTTAATTGACGAGCTGTCAAAGAGTTTCTTTTCTTAAATTAGATAGTATGTAAAAAATTCAAGATTCTTATTTATATTATTTATAATAATTTTGAATACTCGATAGTAATGTTCTTATATTTTTTTAAATTTAAATGAACGATGTCTTAAAGATAATTTGGAAAATGAATAGACTTGTAAAATTTGCTAAATGCAGATTATGAATCTTTAATTCTAATTCTTATTTACAATCTATACTTATTCATTTATGATTTTAGATTTTCCTTTCATAGAAATATTTTTATTAAAAAAAAAGTATAATTTAAAAAAAAAGTAAAATATAATATTTATTTTAATTTTTAGCTAATTTCATAAAGTTATTTATTTATAAATATAATTTATTATAATTTCTCATAAATTAACCAGCTTTGAATTTCATATATTTTTAGTCTAATTATTTTTAATTTTTGTTTCTATTTTTTCAATTCAACCGAATATTTTAATTAAATTTTAAGAATTTACAGTAAAAGTTTAATTATTTGTACTAAAAATTAAAATACTCTGCTTGATTTTTAAATAAAGCTATATTTGTCAGATAAATTCTTATTTAAAAAAGAAAAGAAAAAATATGTAAACTACCATTTAGTCATTTATATATTAATATTTATACGAATTCTGCTGATTACATAAATGTATCCAATCAGCAGAAATTTAAAACCAGGAAAGGCAAAATGTAAATCTAATTAATAAATATAAATATTTAAATTATTTTATAGTTTTATTAATTTTACTTAAATTACTTATTTTTTTAATTAATCTCTTAATTATAATTCTAATTCTTATAGTTTTGATTGAATTGTCAGATTGTTTCTATTAGTTATAATATATTAAATATAAATTAATCAAAGAATTTGTTTTGTAATATATTTATTAAATTCATTTTTTTTGATATTAAAATTATTATTTCGCAAATAAAGATATTTATTTTGATTAAATCATCTAATCACTAAGTGAAAGGAGTAAATTAAAAAAATGATCCATTTTTACTATATTTTTTGCTTT